TTGATTATTATGTGATATGAGCACAGACTGGTCTAATATATCAGAGAGCGATTGCACAAGGTGTGTATGAAACAATATTTTTTTGGGCTTTATTCTTAAGGAAGTTAAACTGTGTGAGGTTTTCCTGATACAGAGAAAGGGACAAAGAGAGAAAATCAGTTTTTTCTATTGCCATGTTAGGGAGGATTTATTAATACTACATATTATCTATGCTAAAAATTTCCATAAGGTAATTGGAGTGGAAAAAAAAGGGGGTTATATTATAGGCAAATACAGTCTTTTGATAGTCATACAGGCATCTGAAGTGATTGATACGCCAGGATTGCATACACATCAGCTTGCAGCACTATTGAATTTGTCTGAGAGTGCCTGCCAGATATGTAGTCATCGTAGCATTCTGCTTCTTTCAATATTTGCATGTTTGGAAGTTTGTTATCTGGAGAATTAAGCACTGGAAAACTCCTCTCTAACTAGGACAGCTGCTAGCATGTATTGGCGGAGGTTCCCTGGTGTGTGACCTGGAGTAAAGAGCAATTAGGAGAAAGAGTGATTGTGTTATGTGTTGGCTGAGAAGCTGTGATGGAGTGGTCCGAGTTAGTCCTGGGCAGCTATGGAGAGTGGCTTGGCTAGTGTAGCACAAGAGCTGGGGAGAATCCAGCCCTTTTTCACAAAGAAGTACGAGATGTCCATTGGCAAGATTTCCTAGGTGAGGCTCTGGAGAAACCCAGAGCAATCGCATAAACCGGGCTGAAACCTTTTTATTGCTGTTTGGTTTGTCAAAGAGGAAAAAGGGCACAGGACAAATTGCTGCCTTTGGTTACCTCCATATAACATCAACCTCCGTGGCCTTTGAAGATTTTTGAGGTGGGCAGTGTAACAGGTGATCCAAAGACAGAGTCAATTTATCTTGACAGATATTAATTGCTTCAGCTGAAGTAATAGCTGAAATGTAATAAAACTGCAGGTCCCATCTGGCGCTATTCAGTGTAACGACATGCTGAGGTGCTGGGATCTATTTGGAGAAGCTGTTGATGACAGTGGTGTTGAAAAGACACAAATGCAGTCTGGAAGCGTTTTCCCTCTCTCTGTTGTCTGCAGCTCCTGTGTTTATTGCTTGGCACTGACGCACAGGCCTGAGCTGCAGCTCATGAATCATTGCTCTTATTTCTTACTTCAGGTACTGCTGGGGAGGTGAGGGGTGGCACAGATGTGGAAATAACCAAACGTTTGCTACCACAAAGTGCTTACATGAATGAGAATCAGAAAACAGGAAACTGTAACCAGATGGTGCCACTTTTCCCTTTCTTTCACTCCCCCAAGGCCTGCAATAAAGCATATGCACAAAGCTCAGGTTGTACGATCACCAAAATATTTGGAAAGCTAAACTGCACCTGAGAAAAATGTGTGTTTTAAACTTTTTGTGAACTCCTTTTAAAACTTGACTGTATGTCCTGAGATTTTTCAACTAAGTCTTCTGAGAGCTGGTAAGATCACAGTGCAAGGCGGAAGGTTGTCAGACCTTTTGCTTTTCTACCCTGCTTTACTTTCATCAACGATTTTAAAGTACTTTATGCCCATGGCTTTCCCATACAATTGTCATTAGACTTTTTGTTAAAGGACACCTGTCTTAAGTGACTGATCTTTTTTTTTTCTAATTATTTTTAAAATTTATTATTTCCTTGTTTCCTCTCCTCTCCACCCTGTTGTTTTCCAAGGTAGCTTAAAGAAGCAGATTTTCATTGAATATTTACCAAGGGAACAATTCTATTTAAATTTGGCCAAATGATTCCATGTCTTCTGATACATATATTCATGAACATGTATCCAGCCTCAGGAGCAGCTCTTGTAGTCTCTGAGATGGGCTATTGTTTTTAGACTACAAATCAGAAATCTGATGTTCTGCTGATCTACTGGGGCTTCTAATGACTTGACTGTACATATAGGGTGGTCAGTGCAGTGCAGATGTGGATTCAGAACAATCTCCTCCTTGCAGTTAACATCAAATGTCAACCAGCGCAGAGGACTTGTGAGACAGTTCAGCTTCCTTGGTCCTGCTGGTGTTTTGAACCTGGGTGTTTGTGGGTTCTGCAGAGCTGCTGGAAAAGATATGCTAGATCAGTGCACATTACTTTGAGACTGCACCTATACTTAAAGCCAGAATGACTTGTAGGCAGACTAAAGCATCAATATGGAAACAGCCTGTGTGGGACTCAGAGCTCACCTTTCCTTGATCCATCTAAAACCACCTCAAAGCTTGGGAATGTGTTTCTTGTATAAGACACATCATGTATTTCATGTGTCTGCTACTTAGTGGGAAGTAGCCCATTAAAAAAAGAAGATAAGAAATGCCTGTGGGACAGGGATGAAGTACATCCTGAGGTCTGTCTTCTTCACCACCCAAACAAAGGTATAATCCTCCGTATTACAACCACTTAATTAATTTGAACTGCACATTCTGTGCAAGAGTAAAACCTCAATTCTGGTGAAAAAAACGTTAGGTCAGAAATGAGACGTCAGCAGACGGATGCTCGTTGGGATTTTTCCTTAAGTTCTCAGACGTTGTTTTGATTAGAACATAATGAAGAGTTTGTTCATTAAATGTTCCAGCTAATTAATGTAAAATTCACGGAGACCTTGGATTCTCAGTTAAACATGCATGAAATCAGTGTAGCGTTCTTTATATATCGTGCTTCATACTTTTTGCTTAGCAGGTGTTAACTAACATGATCTAATAAACCGCAAGTATAACAAAATGAATCTTGTTCAGCTTTTAATAATTTTAGCAGCCCAACTGTTGCTTGATATGTATCTTTATTTTACAAGATGTTAGGGCACAAGATGAGATTGTAAGCTTGTGAACAGAAAGATGTGTGGTTTTCTCCAAAATAATTAATGTCACTGTGAAATAGTCTGGTAATCTTTGTTTCTTCTCAAGATTAATTGGACTATCACGTTAATAAGCAAATATGATAATCCTTGTTATTTTTTATCACTGTGGATTTTTTTTCACTGTGGATTTTTTTTACTTACTGTAACTAAAGACATAGAGCATTATTATTTGAGTAACAAATCAAAATACTTCCATATGAACCACCTTCTCTATTCTATTTCAGTCCATTTTGTAGTATAGCATTTAAGTTATACCTCAATACACCAAGAAATTACTAGGTGAATTCACGCTTAAGTATTGCTTTGAAATCAAGTATCATTTCATATATTCAGGATCTATACTGCATGTTTCTGTGATGCCAGGGCACTGAAATCAATGGGAGTTTTACTCTTGCACTGAATGTTCCTGGTGGAAAACTATCCCCGAATGCTTTTTTTTTTTTTTTTCCAGTTTAGTGGAAAATTTTCCATCCTGTCATAGTGGACATAGAATAGCCAGAATTGAGAGCATTGAAAGCAAGAGCATCTTGTATTAAATATTTCTAGTCTGGACTTAAGCCCTGTTATATTATTGGCCTTTTAAGCTAAGATTCTTTCAAATAATAGGACTAACTTTTAAACAGTTCAAAAGATTAAAAACTGTTTATATTAGCATATATTGACCTTCCATTTAATTTGAATTGCCTTAAGTAATCTTGGGAGAATTCATACCTAATCCTTTCCCTCCCACCCACTGGCTATTACAGTGTCTCCTGGGTCCATCTACAATGTTTAGCAAGTGTGAGCTTAAAGGCTTTTTGACTGTGGGGCTGGTGAATCCTGTGTGGCTCTCAGAGCCTGCGTTAGGCACAAGCTTTAGATCTGTTGAAGACCTGCCCATCAGGTAAATGTTTTGGCCAACTCTGTACCGTGTCACTCTCCACAGCTTGTCTCTGGTTTCCAGCCCAGTTTCAGGCTGCCTGTACTTGCCTTCTTACTTTTGCAGCGCTGTCTTTTGGCTGAGATCTGGCAGATAAATCAGCCAAGCTCCTCAGCAGAAGGTCCATAACAAGGTCCATAGGTCCATAACCTAAAGAGCAGGTAGGATTTGTATGCGTGGGTACGTAGGTCCATAGGTCCATAACCTAAAGAGCAGGCAGGAGTGGTATGCATGGGTACGTGGGGGCTGGGCCAGGGAGCCTTGCCCTTGTGCCCAGAGCAGACCATTCACACCTCTTCTGCACTGAACTTCTCAACTTCCTCTCCTTGCATTGCTTCTATTAAAAAAATTGCTTCTAGGCTAGTAAAGGAAGGAGACCTGTCATCAAAACAAAAAGTTTCAATTCTTGTTACTTAATAAAAATTTTTCTTTGCAGGAGATCCTTAACGGCTTTTGATTTTTTTCCCGTTTGCCTCTATTTGGAGGAAAAGAAATTTCAAAATATGAAAAGTCCAGCTTCCAGCTATGTCTATTCAGATCTTTTAATCTCTGAATTAATTTCAATATGTTTTTGTGTCATAATAGAAGTCACAATATATAGGTGGGGAAACTGAGCTATACTTTCTCTGTAGCTGCTGAGCAATTTTTGTCAGAGCCAGAGTGAGATTTTAGGAATGCCTTACCGTTAATTCTCTCTTCTCATCACTAGGCTCTCTCCTCAGATACAGAGAGTAAAGGCAGAGTTTAAAATGCTGTTTATCTTTACAGGAATCTTGTACATTTACCTGCAGGTGTCTTCGTGCTTTCATCCCATATGCACATATTCATGCTAGAGTTTGAAGACGTATGTTAAAGATTGCTGCTGTGCATAAAAATATTGCTGGGAAAACTGAGCATTGTATTTGTAATTCCTCAGACAAACTTTGTTACACTTAGTAGGAAATTTGTTGGTGTTTGGATAGATCCAATGTCCAGTAATAAATTATGATTTCAGCATTCATGGCTCAGTGATTTCAGGAAGTCACTAGAACAGAAATATCAGAAAAGCAAACAAACAACTTCTACTTTTTTTTGGGGTCTTTTCACAGAGCTGCCATAAGGAAGCAAAGCATCATTATTGTTTCTTTCAGTTCTCAACATAAAAGGAAGTAACACTTAATAAAAGCCATTGGCTGCAAGATTTCATAAGAGAGAGAGAAGCGGAGAGAAAGAACGAGAACCGTGCTGTGGAAAAGCAGGTGTGATTCATGAATAAACTATAGTTTGCAACCCTATGGGATACTGATGAAACAAATAGAATTTTCACAGACATGGATAATACAAGAACACAAGACACTTTTTCACAGGTAAAGGCAGAAACTGTTATGGCTTGTGTGAAAGTGCTATTTGTTGTGCGTGACTGAATAGATGGCATATCAGAAACTGAAAATGTATTTTATTGGGACGGTATTTGCAGTAGATTGTTTAATGTAATTGATTATTATGTGATATGAGCACAGACTGGTCTAATATATCAGAGAGCGATTGCACAAGGTGTGTATGAAACAATATTTTTTTGGGCTTTATTCTTAAGGAAGTTAAACTGTGTGAGGTTTTCCTGATACAGAGAAAGGGACAAAGAGAGAAAATCAGTTTTTTCTATTGCCATGTTAGGGAGGATTTATTAATACTACATATTATCTATGCTAAAAATTTCCATAAGGTAATTGGAGTGGAAAAAAAAGGGGGTTATATTATAGGCAAATACAGTCTTTTGATAGTCATACAGGCATCTGAAGTGATTGATACGCCAGGATTGCATACACATCAGCTTGCAGCACTATTGAATTTGTCTGAGAGTGCCTGCCAGATATGTAGTCATCGTAGCATTCTGCTTCTTTCAATATTTGCATGTTTGGAAGTTTGTTATCTGGAGAATTAAGCACTGGAAAACTCCTCTCTAACTAGGACAGCTGCTAGCATGTATTGGCGGAGGTTCCCTGGTGTGTGACCTGGAGTAAAGAGCAATTAGGAGAAAGAGTGATTGTGTTATGTGTTGGCTGAGAAGCTGTGATGGAGTGGTCCGAGTTAGTCCTGGGCAGCTATGGAGAGTGGCTTGGCTAGTGTAGCACAAGAGCTGGGGAGAATCCAGCCCTTTTTCACAAAGAAGTACGAGATGTCCATTGGCAAGATTTCCTAGGTGAGGCTCTGGAGAAACCCAGAGCAATCGCATAAACCGGGCTGAAACCTTTTTATTGCTGTTTGGTTTGTCAAAGAGGAAAAAGGGCACAGGACAAATTGCTGCCTTTGGTTACCTCCATATAACATCAACCTCCGTGGCCTTTGAAGATTTTTGAGGTGGGCAGTGTAACAGGTGATCCAAAGACAGAGTCAATTTATCTTGACAGATATTAATTGCTTCAGCTGAAGTAATAGCTGAAATGTAATAAAACTGCAGGTCCCATCTGGCGCTATTCAGTGTAACGACATGCTGAGGTGCTGGGATCTATTTGGAGAAGCTGTTGATGACAGTGGTGTTGAAAAGACACAAATGCAGTCTGGAAGCGTTTTCCCTCTCTCTGTTGTCTGCAGCTCCTGTGTTTATTGCTTGGCACTGACGCACAGGCCTGAGCTGCAGCTCATGAATCATTGCTCTTATTTCTTACTTCAGGTACTGCTGGGGAGGTGAGGGGTGGCACAGATGTGGAAATAACCAAACGTTTGCTACCACAAAGTGCTTACATGAATGAGAATCAGAAAACAGGAAACCGTAACCAGATGGTGCCACTTTTCCCTTTCTTTCACTCCCCCAAGGCCTGCAATAAAGCATATGCACAAAGCTCAGGTTGTACGATCACCAAAATATTTGGAAAGCTAAACTGCACCTGAGAAAAATGTGTGTTTTAAACTTTTTGTGAACTCCTTTTAAAACTTGACTGTATGTCCTGAGATTTTTCAACTAAGTCTTCTGAGAGCTGGTAAGATCACAGTGCAAGGCGGAAGGTTGTCAGACCTTTTGCTTTTCTACCCTGCTTTACTTTCATCAACGATTTTAAAGTACTTTATGCCCATGGCTTTCCCATACAATTGTCATTAGACTTTTTGTTAAAGGACACCTGTCTTAAGTGACTGATCTTTTTTTTTTCTAATTATTTTTAAAATTTATTATTTCCTTGTTTCCTCTCCTCTCCACCCTGTTGTTTTCCAAGGTAGCTTAAAGAAGCAGATTTTCATTGAATATTTACCAAGGGAACAATTCTATTTAAATTTGGCCAAATGATTCCATGTCTTCTGATACATATATTCATGAACATGTATCCAGCCTCAGGAGCAGCTCTTGTAGTCTCTGAGATGGGCTATTGTTTTTAGACTACAAATCAGAAATCTGATGTTCTGCTGATCTACTGGGGCTTCTAATGACTTGACTGTACATATAGGGTGGTCAGTGCAGTGCAGATGTGGATTCAGAACAATCTCCTCCTTGCAGTTAACATCAAATGTCAACCAGCGCAGAGGACTTGTGAGACAGTTCAGCTTCCTTGGTCCTGCTGGTGTTTTGAACCTGGGTGTTTGTGGGTTCTGCAGAGCTGCTGGAAAAGATATGCTAGATCAGTGCACATTACTTTGAGACTGCACCTATACTTAAAGCCAGAATGACTTGTAGGCAGACTAAAGCATCAATATGGAAACAGCCTGTGTGGGACTCAGAGCTCACCTTTCCTTGATCCATCTAAAACCACCTCAAAGCTTGGGAATGTGTTTCTTGTATAAGACACATCATGTATTTCATGTGTCTGCTACTTAGTGGGAAGTAGCCCATTAAAAAAAGAAGATAAGAAATGCCTGTGGGACAGGGATGAAGTACATCCTGAGGTCTGTCTTCTTCACCACCCAAACAAAGGTATAATCCTCCGTATTACAACCACTTAATTAATTTGAACTGCACATTCTGTGCAAGAGTAAAACCTCAATTCTGGTGAAAAAAACGTTAGGTCAGAAATGAGACATCAGCAGACGGATGCTCGTTGGGATTTTTCCTTAAGTTCTCAGACGTTGTTTTGATTAGAACATAATGAAGAGTTTGTTCATTAAATGTTCCAGCTAATTAATGTAAAATTCACGGAGACCTTGGATTCTCAGTTAAACATGCATGAAATCAGTGTAGCGTTCTTTATATATCGTGCTTCATACTTTTTGCTTAGCAGGTGTTAACTAACATGATCTAATAAACCGCAAGTATAACAAAATGAATCTTGTTCAGCTTTTAATAATTTTAGCAGCCCAACTGTTGCTTGATATGTATCTTTATTTTACAAGATGTTAGGGCACAAGATGAGATTGTAAGCTTGTGAACAGAAAGATGTGTGGTTTTCTCCAAAATAATTAATGTCACTGTGAAATAGTCTGGTAATCTTTGTTTCTTCTCAAGATTAATTGGACTATCACGTTAATAAGCAAATATGATAATCCTTGTTATTTTTTATCACTGTGGATTTTTTTTACTTACTGTAACTAAAGACATAGAGCATTATTATTTGAGTAACAAATCAAAATACTTCCATATGAACCACCTTCTCTATTCTATTTCAGTCCATTTTGTAGTATAGCATTTAAGTTATACCTCAATACACCAAGAAATTACTAGGTGAATTCACGCTTAAGTATTGCTTTGAAATCAAGTATCATTTCATATATTCAGGATCTATACTGCATGTTTCTGTGATGCCAGGGCACTGAAATCAATGGGAGTTTTACTCTTGCACTGAATGTTCCTGGTGGAAAACTATCCCCGAATGCTTTTGAAAATCTTCCCATAGTACCTACTTCAAAGGCACACTGCCTCTATTTAGATAATTCAGATTACACCCACTTAATTAATTTCAACTGACAACAATGTTCAACAAGAAACAAGTCTCTTGTCACATCAAAATCTTGCAATTTTTTTTAAAGCAAGGATTCACTTTATTTACATTTTAATGTAGTTTGTCTTTGTGGAGGCCAATGTTTTGGAGGAAAACAAAGTGACAGTGGAAGAGGATGTAAACCTCATTTAATAATGACACAAAAAAAAGAAAACTGAACGTGTTGGCCATTCATCACACAAACAGTAGAAGTTGGAAACCAATTCATACTGGGAACTCCTGCATTTTTGTTGTGGTGCCTTCCTCAAGCCTTTGTAATATCAATTGTAATGTAAAGCTTTCCATGTATGTTTTCCCTGCTCTTTCATTCTAGCATTTTGATCAGGTGTACATTTAGCACGAATAGGGCAGTTGACATTTTAATCTTTGCAATCTATAGAAGAAATGGAAAGGTTTCACTGCAGTGAAAGCATTTGTTCTTTGCGCTCAGGCTTGGACTTAATGAAAATGCAAAACAAGTGTGCAAAATATGGGTCAAATAAGGAGGAGGTTAGGTATGACACAAACATAGTAAGGCATCTGTCAAAGCACCATCCAAGGCTTTTGCATCCCACAGTGTGCACTCTTCTTAAAGATGCTCAGTAATGAGAGATTCCATAATCTTCCCTAGACAGCTCAGTGGCTAGTGTTATCCTTACTGTTTTCCAAACATCTAAGCTGAACCTGCTCCTTTCCTTTTTGCAGCAGCTGTTCACGTATGCATTTGAAGGCTCCCCCAGCCTTCTCTAGGCTGTGAAATCCCAGTCCTTCCTCTCTTTCCTTGTAAGTTATGTTTTTCCAAAGTGCTGGCTATTCTCATTGTCTCCTCCAACATGCCCAACTTGTTTCTGGAGACATGGAAAACTTCACACACTGTTCCAGCAGAAGTCTTTATTGGTGCTGAGTACTGTGGTTTGCAGACTCTGTGGTTGTCTATAACCTCCCAGTGGGATATTCGCTTTTATTGCAACAACATGACGTTGTTAACTTGTGGCAGTTTGTAAACTGCTATAACTTTTGGGTCTTTTTCTGAAGAAAATACGTTTCTCAGCCAGTCCTTGTGAAGCTGGTAATTTCTGCTGATTTTTTTCAGGATTTCCTTTTTTGCCACTTACTGTATATTATTGCTTCTCTCATTTGCCAAGCTTGTTTGGAATTTGAATCCCCCTTGCAACCCGCTTGCAGTTCTTTCCACCTTTGTGCCAAAGGCTGCAAATGTAATAAACAAAATCTCTAGTCTATCACCAGATCATGAATGAAAACCCTGAATAGTACAAAACAAAATCAGTTTCCTGTGCAACACTACCGTGTTTATCCTTTGAGTTTTCTCAGTGAAATCCCAGTAATTACTTTGCAAGTGCCATTTCCTGACAAGTTCCAAGTGCTGTTAGAGCAGGAGGGTCCTGCTGAGAACATGCCAGTCTGTTAAGTGGTGATCGAGGGAAACTCTAAAGTAATCGCTTCAT